CAATAAGCTGCTGCCCAAGCGAATGAGGAACCATTTCATTAAACGCCTAGCATTGGCTGCCAAGTGGGGAATGGGTCGATTTGGGCCTCCTTTCTCTAGGAGGGGGAGCACCACCCTCTTCCCGAAACTGTTCCCAGAATTCTGAAAAAGCAACAGGAGGCTCTCGTTCATTTGCATAGCGGGAAGAGCTCCCTAACCCCAGTCTGAGTCCCTCCTGATCCTCCAAACCCTGGTTTGGGAACGTATCGTGGGGTTAGCCACAGTTCTGTGCCTCACTTGCGAGTTTTCTCCTCCACTTCCTGGTTTTCGGACTACGGTTTGTCGTCATGTCTGAATTAGCCAGTCTGTAGTCAGCTTCCCAATCCACGGGGGTCACTTAAAGTCCTAGTTTCCCGTCTGGGTTTATCTGCAAGGCGGAACTAGGTAAGCCAAAGAGAGGAGACAGTAGCATGTTCCCCAACTTCGAACCACGGTTTGGAGTACTGGCACAGTGGTAGCTGAACTGGACTCGAGTGCCAACCTTGGACGATTCACTTAGAAAAACGGGAATCATGAAATTGATTTCTTGCAGGCAAGGGAGATCCAAGGCCCTCTTGAGATAGGCCTCGGTATATTAACCTAACAAATCCAGAGTAGGAATAGGGAATTGGGAGGGACGAGACAGCTTTCCACTTCTTCCCGTGGGTCGTTTGGGCTCCGCACGCCAAATCTCCCCTTCTCTACAAAACGACACCCCTTCGTTTTTTACCCTGGTCTGTTTGGTAAACCCCCAACAAGTCCTGATTAATGTTGGGGGTGGATAGGGATCGCAGGCAGTCCCCCCCCCCCCAAGGCTTCTGTCTTCAGGACCGTAAACCAGTCAAGGGTGAAATATTTCTCTCTCCCAGCAGTGTCCACTAGGTGGGGCTCTCGGGCCCTTCCTTGGCACAAATCCCACTTCTTAGCGCCAAACGAAGTTGGGAGGGAGGGAGGGTGTGAGAAGGTCTCCTCGCGCCCTGTGCCGCAGCCTTTCTAACCGCCGCTCCCTGCCATCCTTTCTCTCCCAGGGGGTGCCACTGGACACCAGCAAGCTGCCCGCCGACCAGAGGCTCCCTCCGTACCCATACAGCCAGCCCGGCTTTCTTCTCCAGCAGAACCAGAAGCCCCTCCATCACCAGCAGGCGCAAGGCACGGGGGCTTCGCAACCTGGACGGCAGCCGCCCGCCCCTCCACACATGCAGTCGCAGTGCCCGTACCCCTCGCATTACCAGCCCAACTCTGCGCTCCAGCACCAGCTCAACCAGCCGCTGGGTGACTTTGGCCTGGGCAGTGTAAGTCTTGCGCCTCGAGGCTCGCTCAGTTCTCGGCATTTCTGGTCGAAAGGACCAGGCAGCAGGGGATGGGAAAGACCTCCGCGTGAGCCCTGGGGAGAGCTGCTGCCAGCCCGAGTAGACAATTCTGACCTCGATGCGCCGATGGTCCAATTCAGTCGAAGGCAGCTTTGTGTGTACACGTGTGTGTTCTGCAGCATGCCCGCCCTCTGTTTGTGGGCATGTCGCAGTCCGGGTTTGTGTAGGATGAAGAGATTGCGGTACCCAAATCAGTACCTGTGTCAACCCGGTCAGACAAAAGGCGTCCCTGCAGTTGAAAACCTAGAACATCAGTTCCAGGCCAGCAAGGGATCTTTTTAGTATGTTGTATACATGGGTCCCAGTCTGGCAGGATAAATCTTTGAGAGGAGAAAAATGGGAGACAGGAACCAGCAAGGAACTTCACAGCCCTACCTCAAACACAGACGACAAAGTGGGAAAAAAGACGGAATTACTGGACAGAGCAGTCGCGGTGATAACCTCAGAAATTATGTGTGGCAGTCCAGTAAAACCATTCATTTACAAAACCACTCGTGTTTGGTTGTAACTTTGAGCGGAATGCTCGAAAGTTCCAAATGCGGTTGTTACTTCGAGCCGAATGCTCGAAAGTTCCAAATGCGGTTGTTACTTCGAGCCGAATGCTCGAAAGTTCCAAATGCGGTTGTTACTTCGAGCCGAATGCTCGAAAGTTCCAAATGCTGTTGTTATTTTGAGCCGAATGCTCGAAAGTTCCAAATGCTGTTGTTACTTTGAGCCGAATGCTCGAAAGTTCCAAATGCTGTTGTTACTTTGAGCCGAATGCTCGAAAGTTCCAAATGCTGTTGTTACTTTGAGCCGAATGCTCGAAAGTTCCAAATGCGGTTGTTACTTTGAGCCGAATGCTCGAAAGTTCCAAATGCGGTTGTTACTTTGAGCCGAATGCTCGAAAGTTCCAAATGCGGTTGTTACTTCGCGCCAAATGCTCGAAAGTTCCAAATGCGGTTGTTACTTTGAGCCGAATGCTCGAAAGTTCCAAATGCTGTTGTTACTTTGAGCCGAATGCTCGAAAGTTCCCAATGCTGTTGTTACTTTGAGCCGAATACTCGAAAGTTCCCAATGCTGTTCTTCCCACATGGCTAGTCCAGAGTAAACCAACCCAAAGGAAGTAGGTAGGTGAAGGGGTTACCCAGAATGGCACCAAGAAGGTATGTTGGGATAGACAGGGAGGGAATTTCCGATTTAAAGGGAAGGAATCCCAAGCTAGGTGAGGGAATATAGTGAAGAGTGATCAGCTGGCAGTGGGACAAGACCGGCCGTGAATGGAAGATGGAGGACATAAAGAACCAGAAGAGGATAGAAGTATGTGGAAGGTTAAGTCTGGGATAAAGAACAGAATGAGGGGAAAGAAGAATATACCCTGCCCCTCTTGAAGGGGAGGGATTGGGTGGTTTCGTGTTCATGGTGCTGGAAGGTGGTTCTGGAGGGGAGCTAGCTATAGAAAATGAGGGCACTAGGTGCCCATCTTCTGCGCCAGGATTTACCCAGCCTCCAGTGAGGAACCTCACTATTGGCCAGATTTAGTACTGAGGTAGGACCCCTGCTGGCATTGGACCGGAAGCGCATGATCCGGCTTCCCATTGGTGGGTTTGAGGAGCAGAGGACCACAGTAAGCGGAAGTCCAAACGCAGTCTTAAGGAGGAAGAGGAGGAGGGTGCATACCAGTTGAGGCGACAGAGGACAGCAGGGCGGTGTCGGTGGGAGGATGGAATTACCCGAGCGGCAGGCAGGCCGGGGCCTGTTTGATAGAGGCCAGCAAGGCGGCTCAGGGCCCCTTCTGAATCACTAAGGAAACGTACGGTGTGTGGGAGATGGTGGGATCTTTGGGTAGAGATGTAAAATTTCCGGAAATTTTGAAGCTTGGGAAAAAACCCGTTTTTCGGGGGGAAACGGAAATTTTTGGAAAAATTGAAAAAATGCTACATTAGCATTTCTTTTGTCTTTTCTAGATTGAAAGTCATTCTGTTACTTTAGGAACATAAAATATGACTGTGGACATTTTTACTTGGCATGAAATTATCACAACTAGCATAATTAAAATATAGTGTATCCAAACAGTTATTTCAAACAGAATACCCACCCACATGCAAAAACAAAACTGAAACTTTTTTATTTTCTTCTGACAGTCGCACCTCCTAAAGGAAGAAATGCATCTTGTTCTTGCATTGGAGAGTTCAGTTTGTAACCTAGGACTTGCTTGTCCTCAGTGCACAGAAATTAGATAATCTGATACCATATATATATTAGAAATTATTTGAAAAATATTTGAACTCCTTGTCTTAAAATATTTTATTCATTGTGTTAAAATAAAATGTTCCATAATCATTTTTTTTCTTTTTTCAATTTTTCGGAAAAAAACAAAAAGGCTTCAGGAAAAAAACGGGGAAAAAACGGGTTTTCCCCGAATTTTTCCGGTTTTTTTCCGGGCCTTCACATCTCTATCTTTGGGTACGAGCCTATACACTTGGGTCATCACTCACAACTGTGAGCATGAGGAGCTCTGGAGAGTCAGGCGAAGGAGCCGTGATCACTGTCCTTCTGGATCATTCAGGCTGTCCGGCTCCTCCCTATCGAAAAGCGCCTTAGCGGGATTCCTGCCTTAATTGAGAGACCCTCCCGCTGGCGGAATTTTCCTTGAATTTCTGGCAGCTGAATGCCAAAAGACTTTGGGGTGAAAACAACATGGGTCTGTGTGTGTGTTTGTAGGCAACCCGGGGGAGCAACCCGGGGAGAAGGAGAAATAAACGTTATCTTATGGGTTAGAAGAATCCACCCACTCGGTATTTCCTTCTTTCCCCCACAGTTTGATCAGTACGGCATGGTCGAGAACACGCCAGGGGGCTATGGATTCAACAACAGCGCCTTCCCAGGAGACCTGGGTGCCTTAAACTACCCCATGGGGGACAACATGGGCCTGTCGGGAGGTGGCGGCGGTGGCAGCAGCACACACGACCCCCGTCTGCTCAACCGCCAGAACCTGAGCCACTGCAGCCGCCATGGCCCCATTCCCAACATTATCTTCACAGGTATTTGGCACCGGGGGGGTTGGAGGAGGGGCAGGCTGGGCTCCTGCTGGGGGTGGCGGGGTCAGTTAAGTGGGTCAAGCATTGACCGGGATGGCCCAGGTGAGGTGAGCCCGATCTTATCAGATCTTGAAAGCTAAGCAGGGTTGGCCCACGTTAGTGTTCAGATGGGAGAACATCGAAGAAATCCAGGGTCACAAGAACATCAGAAGAGCCCTGCTGGGATCAGACCAGTGAGGGTCCATCTAGTCCAGCATCCTGCCTCACACAGTGGCCTCAACCAGTTCCTCTGGAGGGCCAGCAACAGGGCAGAGAGGCAGAGGTCTTCCCCTCATAAGGACATCAGAAGAGCCCTGCTGGATCAGACCAGTGAGGGTCCATCTAGTCCAGCATCCTGCCTCACACAGTGGCCTCAACCAGTTCCTCTGGAGGACCAACAACAGGGCAGAGAGGCAGAGGTCTTCCCCTCATAAGGACATCAGAAGAGCCCTGCTGGATCAGACCAGTGAGGGTCCCTCTAGTCCAGCATCCTGCCTCACACAGTGGCCT